TCTTATCACGGTGGGCCTGGAACTCAGCCCTGGGGATCCCCACTGCAAAGGCTTTCAGCAGTACAGCTCCTGGCTAACGAGAACGCTTTTCCTAGTGTTGCCTTTGGTGCAATGCAGGAATATAAACAGGCTGGCTTGGCATGCCAAGATAAATATTCAGGGGCAACACAAAAAGTAGATCTGGAAAAACTATTGGCAACTTCCTTCTTTTGTGGACATGGAAAACCGATTGTTCCATCCCTCTTTGCAGCAATGTCGTGATTTATGCAAATGCTGTTTTCATTATCTCCTGCCAGCTTCCAAAYGAGGATGTCATACCAGCGGTGTTGATCTGAATCAGCCAGACATGTAATCATGCTGAAGGTGATGATAAGTTTGCAAAGCAATACCTTCCTTACCTCAAAAAGGATATCAGTAGAAAATTATTTAATTCTCTAAAAATTATTTTAATTCTCTACTGATAGTATCAAAGTTAATTCTTCTGTTATTTCTTTCTGGTATTATCAGTAATCTAGAGTTTTCTGGGTCAACCGGTTTATTTTCTTAATGACTGGAGTGATTTCTGTTCTTCCGTCCTTTGGAATTACCCCAGTTTTTGTAGCTCTGTTAAAAATTGTCATCAGCAGCTCAATAAGACCCCCAGTTAGGCCCACTACTGCTCTCAGTGTGGGCCTGATGAACTGAAAATGTCGATTTTAGCCGGAAATGCTTTACATGCTGGTTTGTTACAGATGGCTCACACTGCAGCCTTCKCTTTGCATCCACAGCACTCCACAGCCCTCACTTTCCAAGGTTTCACTCTTGCACTGGCTTTTCGGCATCAGGGACTATGGAAACCCACAGAAGGCTGCTTTATGGCATTCTTTTTTGCTTTTTCTTGTTTTCTTCTCATGMGAACGCATTTGCTTCATCTCCTTTCTTATTTGTCCCTGCTTGGCTCATTGTTTGCCTTTGAGCCATGCCTCGGGCGAACACCAAGGGCCAAGGCTGGGCACGTAGCTGGAGGGTGTGGTGAGGACCAGACAGCCTGTGACCCCCATCCTACCAGGCATCGCAGAAAATCCTGCCAAGCCAGATGAACACGAGGGTCTTGGAGGTTGCGAGAGTGTGGGCTTGGACATGGTGTGCATGAGTAAAATCAGGTTTTGCCTCACAATAGAATCCCTTCCTGTCCAGTATCAGCTGCAGCTTCTGCCCCCCTCCACACTGGAGGGTTTCCTAGCAGATGGAGAAGGTGCACTCTATCAGTCTATTCATTATCTTTCATCTCCCTCCCCTTGGGATCTGATCCAGACCATGCAGCTCCCAGCTTCACTGTGGATGAGTTTGGGGTGTTCTGCTCTAGTGCACTGCAGGGTTATCCAGCCCAACCTGGCACCAACCACATGCCAGGGATGGGGGTGAAATCCTGCTGYTGTGAGGCTCAGCTGCTCCCTGGGTCCATGTGCCTGCTCATCGTGGATAACCTATTTTGTCATGGGCTTCTGCCGCTTCTGCCAGCCTCTGACTCTGTTGATTTAAAATCTGCAAGCACCTCGGTTTTGCCTGGGTTTTGGCTGGGGCAGCAGCCCCACTGTCAGCGTAGGCAAGCACCCCTGAAATGCAGAGCCTGGAATACACAGCCTGGGTCTGTCACATTGCTAAATCTGGCTCAAAGTCATTGCCCTGCKTGAACGAAAGTCACCCTGACTTTGCTGTTTCTCACTTCTCTGTCCTGCTATGCAAACTAAAAACAGCTGCATAACTGCCTCCCTGGATTCTCCCCAGTCTCTAGAAGACACAATTCTAGAACAGCCAGCTGAGATGAGATGGGCAGGTGGCTAGGAACATGGCCACCGAGGCAAACATGAGGAGCACCAAAAACATGAAGGTGTAAAGAAATTGACTCTGCAGGGAAGTCAGGGATGGTGGATAGCGCTGTATGGATGAGACAGCAGGACTGTGAATGAAAGAATCAATGTGGATTTAAAAAATGGCCATCCTTCTCAAGTGGTCTTGTCACCAGCTGCCTGCGCCTGGGGACCCCCCCCCCCCCAGTGCAGCCCTTTTGGGGGTGAGCAAACCCTAGAGCTTCCACTGACCCCTTTTCTGGGGGCTGCACCAGCCCTGTGGCTGCCCCAGAGATGGCCAGCATTGCCACCTGTCCTAGAAGCAGGCAGGCAGCAGAAGGTGGCACAGAAGTGGCACCCAAGAGCCTGTCTCAGTCTGCTCAAACCCTCTCACTCCATCCTACTGGCTCTGGCTCCTGCTCCTTCCCTGCTGCTGTTCCACTGCAGGGAATGAGGACCTTCCCTTGGGGAATGGGGAGAAGAGGAAGGGAGTCAGCTGTATGTGATGAGGGGAGCAGCAGGCACACGACTTGCTGAGCACTTCACTCCATAGCTCAAAAATTGCCAAGAATACAACTTTTCAGTACATAATTGCCAGTTTTGTTGAAGCTGTGAAAGGGCTTGTGTTTTCCTGTGGAAATCAAAAGCTGAAACGTTGTGCAGTGCTGAAAAAGAAAAAAAAAATCTCTTAATTTGTGGTTTGCATAATAATATGGCACGGGTTTATGATGCAATTCAGTCGGCTTCCTGGGAGATTGGGTAACCGGGATAAAAATATTTGGTCCTTTTGGGGTTCTGCTTTGCTCACCCAAAACCTCTTTTATCAGAAAGCCTCAACAGTATTTCATGAGCATTTTTGAGACCCTGGGAAGCTGAAAACAAGCTTGCAATACAGCGATACCCAGAACTTGTAAAGAAATAAGGGTCTTCTTGAGACAYATTCAACATGCCTGTGCTTGATGCAAAGCTGGTTTGAGCCAGGTTGGTGCACCAGGACTTCAGAGAGACCTAGGAGGAAGGGGCAGGTAAAGAGGGCAGGGTGATGCAGCGGAAGGTGTGAGGCACCAGTGGGTGATGGGCTGGGTTTTTTTGGCTGCTGCCAGGTTTGAGTAGGAGAGTGACTGTGGCAGGTCTTGGATGAAGTGTGGTTGGTACCACATCCTCTCTCCTACCTCTCCTACCTCCTAGCTGTGATGGGCTACTGCTCAACTCTCCACTGCCTCCCCTAAGAACATTGTGCGGCTGTCAGTCCTCCTCACTCCATAACCATGCAATGACGGTATCAGCAATGTGCTCCCCTGGCTCCAATTTCACAGCCAGCATGTGGATTTCTATCCCAGCACAGAGGCGTCCACACCAGTGTGTACAGAGTGAGCTGGGACCTGTCATGTCTGGAGCCTCTTTGTGCTCACATCAGCTGCAGAAGCCAGGGAAAGGAAAGCGAGGTGCCAAGSCTCGGCTAGGTCCTGGTGGCTCCGCCTCAGCCTCCCAGCAGCAGGATGGATCTCGGTGAAGCAGCCTGTGGCTCCATCTAGTGCCCACGCCAGCCCTGCACCCATTGCTGGGCAGATGGGCCAAATCGTAGCCCCTGGCAGCCGAGGAAGGCACCCTGGCCAGAGGCAGCTCCCCAAGGAGTCCCGCCCTGCCCGTGGGCAGGCAGATAMATGAGGACAGTGCTGCAATGGCATCCAGGAAAAAAAACCCCAGTGGCAGGGAATACTCCAAGCCATTGCTCAAGGAAATCATCAAGTTACTGTCTGATGGCAGGAGACAGGCCTTCCTTGGACAGAGAAATGCTTTTGGCATACAAGATGATGCCCTTGGCATTTCATCCACTCCATGCCCCGTGACTCATGGCTGGGGAAGGCTCTTGTCGGGGATATCTGTCCTGAAACTTGTTCCTGAGGAGTGCTGAGAATGGCTTGTCTCAGCACTCAGGCCTCCCCATTCTGCTAAGCTTCCGAGCTAGGGATTTATGGGAGGTGTGGAAGATGTTCCAGCTTTAGTGTAGGTGTGGCAGTGGATCCAAAGGGCTCTCACCCTGCAGAGATATCAAGCTCCCTCCTTCTCCCATCCAGACAAGAGCAAATCATAGATCTGCGTGGACATATTCACAGGTGCAGGTGAACATCCCCGAGACTGTTCAGGACCCTGAGGATGGGTGGGCACAACCCCTCTGCAGCAGCTGTCCAGGCAGGGCCAAGCAAAGGCAAATTTACAAGGCAGCTCCCGGTGCACGGTCCGGCTTCTTGGGAGCCCCGGGCACCCCGGCTGCCGGCGCCACAGCGGTGTCACGGTGGTGCCAGGCAGCCCGGGCTCCCGGCAGGAACCTGTGGCCGCCAGTCCGGCAAGCTGCGCCCCGTCACGTCCCCCGCCCCGACAAAGCGCTGAGTCACCCCAGCTGTCCCCCCGCGCCGGCTCCTCCTTCCCGGCGGGACCGGCCGGGCAGCTGACTGGGCAGGGAGCCAGGGGCACGCGGCGCCGGGAGCTGCCCCGGGGCTGCAGCCGTGCCTCGGTGCGCTGCGCTGTCAGCACCGGGACCAGCGGGACAGGTCGGTGCCACCCCGCCCGCACCTTGCCGGCGCTGCCCCGGAACCCCCGCGGCCCTGGGAGCAGCGGAGCCGGCGCGGGGACGGGGACCGGGAGGAGGACAGGAAAGGGGCTGAGGCGGGGGCTGAGGCGGGGGCTGAGGCGGGGGCTGAGGCGGGGGCTGAGGGGGGCCCGGTCAGAGCAGCGCCCGCACTCCGCGCTCAGACACGCCCCCTATGACATCAGCCGGCCCAACGGCGAGCCCGTGACGGCAGGGCCGCGGTTGGCTGCAGCCGCCGCCCGTCACGCAGCGGAGCCGCCTCCAGGCCCGCGGTGGCCCGGGCGCGGGGGACGCGCGACACCGGCCGCGGGCGGCCCGGGCGGGCGGGGAGGGCTCGGCGGCGGCGCTCAGGTGGGCACCGGGGCGGGGCGGGGTGGGACGCGACGGGGGAGCGAGGCAGGAGGGGCCGTCGAGGAGCGGCGGCCCGTGGCGCACGGGGGGACCGGGACCGGTGCGGTTCCTTGCCGTGACGCCGCCACCGCCCCTGCTCCTCCCGGTGCCCCAGATMCGCTGGCCGTAGCCCAGGGCCGCCGGCCGGTGGCGGCGGGGCGGGGTGCGGAAACTTCCAGCAGCAGCGGGTGGCTCCGGGAGCGCCGTGTTTACGGCCGGGCCGGGGGGCGGTCCCAGTGCCGCCGTACCGGTGCCGCTGCCAGCGCCAGCACCGCCCTCCCGTCAGCTGGGACTCACGGGCCGGGGGCGAGTACCAGGGGTGGGACGGTATCCCGGRGGGTCGCGGGGGGCTGCAGCGGCCGCGTTCTGCTCCTGTCCCCCACCCGGAGCGGGTCGGTCGATGGAAGTGTCCCGGCGTGCCCGGGAACGGGGAGGGTCCCCGCTGAGCCCTTAATCCGCTCCAGCCGTTAAGCACCTTAGCGCTCCCGTTGCCCCCCCCCGCCCCGCGACTGAGCCCCCCCGGGGGAAGCGGGCAGCGAGCGGCACCGGCAGCGGGGACCCCGCTCCCCGTCCTGGGCAAGTTGGGGTGATGCCGGCGGCGCGGCGCTGCGTCAGCAGCAAAGGGTCCTCCCCCCCGGGATTATAGGTGCTTCCCAGGTGGCTGAGGTGCGGGTAGGGTGGTGGGGAACTGGGCATGGTGTGGCACTGAGCTTCTCTTGGGGGAGAGTGGGGTGGCCGGGGTGTGGCGAGGGTAGGCAGCTCACCCTTGCTGTCCCACACACAGTACTGCCAGGCTGTGCCTGTGGATCCCTGACTTTGCCTTCTCTCCCGGCAGTGACCCTGTGGGACAGCTGACATCATGGTCGACTACTACGAAGCGCTGGGGGTGAGCCGCAGTGCCACCGCTGATGACATCAAGAAGGCGTAAGTGCATGGCAGTGTGCCCCTGCCTGCCGGGCAGAGCCCCCAAGCCATCTCCACCTGGTGCCTGCGAGGCAGGGGCTCTCTTGGGGTGATGGGGWCAGGGCCCAGCTCCAGAGATGACAATTCAGCCTTTGTTTCCTTTGTGTGGGCGCCAGAGCAGGGTTGGGCTTTGCTGCCTTACAAAAGCATCTTTTGGTGGGGTTTGGTCCCTTTGTCCCTGCTGTCAGCGTGGGGCTGGAGGTGAGTCTTGGTAGTGTTTGGAGGCTCCACTCTCTCTCTTTCGGTCAGAGGATGCAGGGATGGCAGAAGACTAGAGCACAGGGACTCTGCTGGCATCAAAAGCAGGGGACTGGAGCTCACAGGGTGAAGAGCAGCATATCCCCTTTTAGGGACTTGGACCCTGTGAGCAGGCAGGTGCTGTGCCCCAGGCACTACTRGGAAGCCCTGAGGGCTGACAGAGCCTCCTGAGTCTCTGCAACTCCTGCCTGGCACCCTGCCGAGTTGCTGCTGCTCTCACTGGGGTGAGGCATCACCTGAGGGGGAATGCCAGCAGATTGCTGGCTTGGTGGCAGGGGTCCTTGTGGGGGGCTTCCTAAGTGTGAGTGGGAGAAGCTGGGGAGCCTGRGTTAACCCTAGCTAACTGCATTGGGGAGGAAAGGGCTGCTGGTGCCCTCCCAGCCCCATGGGCCCCCCAGCAACCCTTGGTCTATGCACGCTCACAGTGGAGTGCATGAAGGCTCCAGAACAAACCTGTGGGCATCGTCCAGAGCCATCAATGAGGCCAGCTGAGGCAGGCACATGTTGCACTAGTGTTGTGCTGCAGTTCTGGGGTCATTTCAGTTTTGTTTGTTTAGTCTGTGTGTATGCATAAATAAATAAATAAGAAAACATATTCTCCTTGGGAGGCAGAACCAGTCCTCTTCAGTGCCTGAGGCTGTGGGGTGCTAGGTGAATTGGGTTTGGGGTGTCCCTGTCCTCAGGGTGGGAGGTGCGTGCTCAGATGGGGATTGCTGGCTGAGGAGCCCAAGGGCTGCTGCATGCCCATCACTGCCCCTCTGTGCAGGTACAGAAAGGCTGCGCTGAAATGGCACCCTGATAAAAACCCAGACAACAAGGAGTATGCTGAGCAGAAGTTCAAGGAGATCGCAGAGGCATACGAAGTGCTGTCGGACAGTAAGAGGCCACAGTGATGTCTCGTGTGTGTGTGTGTGTSTGTCTRCCCTTGGGACTGCTTGTGCAGGGCTGTCTTGCTTCTGAGCTCACCCAGGTTGTATCCCTGACTCTCCCCAGGAGGCAGTGGGTCCCTGCAGCTTTATCACAYAGCTTGTGGGGCTTGTTTAGTTCCTCACATCTCCCAAAACCACTCTTGAGATGGATGCTAAGCTGCTGGCCTTCACAATGCTGTCTCTCTGGCAGGGCTGAAGCTTTTGCATCCTTGCTCAGTGCTCTTACTTGGGTTCATGTGCAGTGCCAGTGCAGCAGGGTTGTGTGCCACGCCCCTGCTCTTGCTCCCTGCTGTTCTGCATCTCCCTTAGTCAGGAGAAGTGCTCATGCTCCCGCCTGGCAGCCAGCTTCCCTGCAGCCCCCTTTCTTCTTCCAGAGCAAAAGCGTGATGTCTAYGACCGCTATGGCAAGGATGGACTCATGGGAGCAGGTGAGTAGGGCCATGGGGGTTAGTGCAGCTCTGGATACATCCCTTCCTGAAAACCCAGTGTGGGTCAGTGCTACCAGGGCTCCCCACCTTTCAGGGGAGTTGTCTCCCAGGGCTCAATTTAACACTGAAAATCTTCCCTCCAGCAGGATCAGGGGGCTCCAGGGCCAGTGCTGGGGCTCCTGAATTCACCTTCACGTTCCGCAGCGCTCACGACGTCTTCCGGGAGTTCTTTGGTGGGCGAGATCCCTTTGCTGAATTCTTCGGTGCGTGTTGAGYAGGGGAGGCTGGCTCTTGGGCATCTCTCTGTCCGGGGCCAGCTGCTGAGCTTGGGGACAGAGCTCACGGCTGGCCCTGGCAGAGGGTCCTCACATCAGTGCCCTGCTTCTGCTTTGCCAAGCTGCTGGGGTAATGCTGATGGGGGGATCCCTGCCTTTCAGATGAGGTGCTGCCTTTCTCTGAGCTGCGAGGACCTGGCCCCCGGCACCATGGAGGAAGCCATTTCTTTTCCTCCTTCCCAGGATCCTCAGGTAGGAGACGCTGCCATTCCTCCCAGCAGGGGAGTCCTAGAATACCATGCCCCTATGCAGAGTTTGTCCCCTGCCCTCCTCTTCTCATCCATCCTGGCACTAACCTTGTTGCTCCCTTCTCCAGATTTCTTCGCCTCATCCTTCAGCTCTGGAGCAGATGCAGGACTGGGCTTCCGCTCTGTTTCCACTTCCACCACCTTTGTTAATGGCAGGCGCATCACCACCAAGAGGTGAGGGCAGTGCCAGGCTACCATGCTCCCACAGACTTCCCTCCATCAGCAGGCCTCAGACCCTGCAGCTTCCTGGTGGTGCTTTGTGTGCAAGGCCCTTGACTGTCCATCTGTTTGTCTGCAGGATTATTGAGAATGGGCAAGAGCGGGTTGAAGTGGAGGAGGATGGGGAGCTGAAGTCGATCCACATCAATGGTGAGACTACCATTGCAGACTGATTTGTTGAGGTCTGCTCCCTTTCCCTTGGGGGTGACTGGGAGGTGCTCCATCCAGGCTTGGTTTTGGACTGAGCCTTGGTTGGCCCTGGTTTGGAGTGGAGCTCTGCTCTGAAGGATTGGTGGGGTGGGTTGGAGTTGCCAGGGCTCCATACCATCTCAGGGGAGCTGGAGCAGATGAGTCCCCCAACCCTTGCCCCCGTCTGCACAGGTGTCCCTGATGACATGGCCCTGGGGCTGGAGCTGAGCCGGCGGGAACAGCAAGCCGTCTCCAGGGCATGGTCCCCCTCGCCGCCACCACCGACCCTGCGCCAGACCTCAAACTCCTCACCTGTCTACCTCTACACGGACAGCGAGGATGAGGATGAGGACTTGCAGCTGGCCATGGCCTACAGCCTCTCAGAGATGGAAGCTGCAGGGCACCACCAGGCAGGTGGGCACAGCCCCAGCTCCCTGCAGACACCGGGGGGCAGCCATAGCACCCCATCCTCCACCCGCAGATCCCGTGGTGCACAGGGGAGGCTGGAGCAGGAGCCACCGGGGGCCAGCAGTCCTGCTACAGTGGGGCACGAACCTGCACCCAGAGTGAAGCTGTGGCACTGCCCCCTCCTCTGAGCTTGAGGCTGGGGTTCTGTCCCTCTCTGTCGGGCAGGGAGAGGAAAGTGGGGGTGGAGTCTCACTTCTTGGAACTTGGCTTCTGCCTCCCCTAGCAAGGGAGGGGGGTCTCCCCTGCCTCCTTGCTCAGATGAGTGGGTGGCTAGTGGCATCCTGGGGTTGGAGGCTYCTGGACTTGGAGGTAGTGGCTTGAAGAGGAGCCTCCTTGATGGGGTCCCAGGAAGAGGGGCATCTCCCTGCCCTGGCTCCTGGAAGCATGGGGTCCCCGTGGGCAGGTGGGCCCTGGCTGTGCCTGCCCCTCTCTCCCTGCCTGCCCTGCAGACAGGCAGGGTCTCCAGCAGGTGCCTCCCTGGCTGCATCCTGCCCCTGCCCAGGCTGCAGGGAGTGCTGAGTTAGGCTCCCCTCCTTGCAAGGAGGGCTGCGCACGTGGCCTCTGCTTGGTGCCTTGTGTCTTGTCTCTTCCCTCTGGATGCTGTTGCTCCTGCCTGTACCTTATCCTTCTCTGTCTCTGTGCAGACTCTGCTTGGTCACTCCCTTCCCTATGCCTTGTACACCCTCTAGAGCACTGTCCCTCCTTGCTTCCCACAGCAGCAGTGACCCTCTGTGATGTTCACAAGTGTTTCTACCCTCTCTGTTGCCCATAGTTCTGCCTTGGCTGTCTTCGTGCTCCTGCTGGGACTTTCCTCCCTCCATCCCTGCCTCTCCCCAGCCCTTGGCCGAGGAGGATTTCACAGGTGCTGTTGTGTACCCCCCTCCGCTTGTCTCCCCAGGTGTGTTCTGAGGCTGCTGCGCCCGGGGACCGCGCACGCCCACTCGCCCACGGAGGCTCTCCCAACCAGGACTCCGCTTTGTCCCTGCACGGCCACCCCCTGCCACCCCCTTCCCCCAGCACCCTCTGGCTCCGTGGGATGTGGTGAGGGGGGGGCATGACAGGGCTCATGACTGAGCAGTACCTGGGGCTGGGGGGAGATACCCTGGGCACCACAGGGTGGTGGAGAGGGTGGTAATGGGGGTTTGTTGTAGATTAGGATGCTGGGGGGTGCTGGACGTAGGCAGCTAGGGGCAGTATGGCTGGGCTCAGCCAGCAGGGCTGGGCTCTGCCCCCCTCCTCGCTGTAGCCACCCCTCTCTGACCCCCTTCTGCTGACAGCTGTCAATAAACCTGTTTGCAGTAGCTTCTGCCTGTGGGGTCTTTCTGGGCTGGAGGTGCAGGGTTCTCTCCATCTTTGCCTGCAGGTGAGCTGTACTCGTCTGGGAGTCGTGGAGTGCAGGGATAGAGGCGGACAGACATGATATTTCCTCCCCGTGCCATCCCAGTATACACAGTCAGAGGTCAGGCCTGGCTGCAGCTGCACGAACGTGACACAAGAACTTTATTCACATCAAGATACAAAATTATAGTTCTCTAGAAATTTCGCTTCTGCTCGAGTGACTAGGCAGGGAGCACACAAAGGGGACCTAGGGTGGGGCTGGGCGAGGCCCCCCTGCATCCCATGCTCCCCCCAAGTGTGAAGGACCCCTGCCCACTTTTGCCCCCCATGTGGGTGCAAGGAAGAGAGTTAACACAGAACTGACAGGTTGGAGAGCCCCSCTGCCAGCTCTCAGCAGCACCAACTGGTGTCTGCCTCCACAGGGCTTAGCGGACAAGAGCCTTGTCCCCCTCCYGTGGTGGCAGTGGGTGCGAAGGGGTTCCTGCACACAGAGAGCCTGAGGTCAGTGTCCTTGGAGAGACAGAAAGGGAGGCCGGGGGCAGGGGGAACAGAACCAGAAGCACAGACACCATTTACAGGGAGAGCAGCCCCAGAGGCAGGTGAGGAGGGTGCAAAGCGCCGGGCAGGGGGCAGACAGGARGGGGCAGGGAGGGCTCCTCGCCATTACTGCGGCAGTGCCTTCAGGATGGCGTTCACTTCCTCGGCCACAGCCGTCAGCGCGAACTCAAACTGGTCCTGCGGGAGCACAGCAGGGGGCATGAGGGCCCCTGCCAGCCCGGCCCCAGGAGCTGTGCATGCTTATGTGGAGGGAGAGGATCCCCAGTTTGGGGCGTACCTTGGTCTGCACCATACCRGGCCGCTGGTCTCGGATGTGCTCCAGTGTAGCAGCTATGTCTATCTCCTTCACCCCTGGGGCAGAGGGAGACAGGGCTGCTAGGAGGGGAATTCACAGATCAARCTCATGGACAGGGCAGAAACGGTGCTTCTCTCCACCTACCTTTGGCCATTCGGTTCAGGACCATGTCGATGAGGATGTATGTCCCAGTCCTGCCTGCACCGTCACTGCAAAACACAGATGCTTGGTCCAGGGGAACTCRTGACCCCCAATGGGGCTGGTCCTGGGGAGCAGGTCCCAGCCTTCAGACACCTTCAAGCCCAAATGTCCCTCATCCCCTGCAGTACCTGCAGTGCACGATAATAGGGCAGGAGCGACCCCGGTAGCATTTGTTCACCTTCCTGCAAGGATAAGAGGGAACAGATCAGTGCCCTGCTGTGCCAGGGTCAAGGCTGTGCTAGGTGTCCCTCGCTGTGCTCAGTGGGGCAGGGCAGCAGCACACCATCATGTGACCCTGGGGGTCCGGCTCATGGCTTCTCCTGCCTCCACAATGGTGCTGGACATGGGATGGGGACCGTGAGTAGAAAGTGGCCAGGGCAGGGAGAGGAGTTCAGGTCCTCAGGTGCCCAGCCTGGGGAGGGGAGCAGTGGCAGGACCCCAAGGAGCGGCTCTGGTCCGGTGGGGTGTGAAGCTGGGGGCCAGGCGCCGGTGGGGCTCCTGGCATGCTCCATGCAGCAGGCACGGCTGCCAACGATCACTTTTGTGACTATGCAACTGGAGCCAGATTACTAGCTGCAAATCACAAAAATGACGCCGGCAGCTGCGAGAGAGAGACAGAGACAGACAGAGAGAGAGAGAGAAAGCGTGAGCAGGACTGAGAGGAGGGCGTCATGCTCAGAGAACCCCCCCGCTGCCCTAGGCTGGGTCCCTGGCTCCACACAACCTAAGGACAGTGCCTGGCAACAGCCCAAGACCACCCAGGAAGCTAAAGACCCGGGCAGACAAATCCCCTGGGAGCAGCCCCAGTCCTCCAACCCTTGCCCTGGGCTAGCTGGGGATCCACCACTGGTTGTAGGGCTTTGGGAGCAATGGGTCACAGCCAGTTTAAGGCTGGCTCTGGCGCTTTCTTCTTGCACCCATGGTTGGGGTAGGTGACTGTCAGTGCTGCCCTCCATGCCAGCTCTGGGGAAGAGCACTTTACCACTTTACCATGAAGGCTGGAGAGCCCTGGCAAACTGAGTCAGAGGTTCTTTGCCCACCAAATTCTTTTGAGCCTCATCCCAAGTTGGCCAAAACCTGGTTCTTCTGCTCCCTCCCATCCATGGCACCTCCCAGTGCCTGGTCCTTGCCATGGCCCYGACCCTCATCATAATGGCAGCGATGTCCTCTCCCAACAGTTGGCTGCATTTGGGGTCACTGCTGGCTCCCCAAGGGCTGGCACAGTGCCAGGTGTGCGCTCACCTGCGGAAGTCAAGGAGGGGCCGGGTGGTGGTGGGGATGCCCTCGGCCGGCCAGCTGAGGAAGTGGAACTGCGTCAGAGTGCGGGTCTCCTGCGACTGCACGTTTTTCAGGTAGAAGCTGCGCACCAGGAAATCCTCACACCAGATGTGCTCTGACACCAGGTTCACCTGCCCRAGGGAGGCAGACAGTGGGTCTCAGTGCCAGACAAGGGGGCTGCACTCAGGGGGATGGTGGCTGGAGGACACTCCATGCCCCAGGCCACCTGCCACACTTGCCTCATAGATGTGGTAGAGAGAGGAGCCTTCATCTGGCCAGTAGCGGTCACACTGCTTGACACTGTCCTCAGCCAGGGGGCTCAGCATGACAATGACGGTGCAGCCATGTTCCCACACCATCTGTGGCAAGGCAAGGGGCTTTTCACTGCTGGGGGACAGCCCAGGTGGGAGGGCATTCCAGCCACTGTGACCCATCTGGTGGGCAGACACAAAGGCACCCCAATGGCCTGGCACAGCCACATGACACTCGCCTGCCAGAAATCAGCAATAGTGTGRGACAGTGGCCCCTGCGTGGCAATGTACGCTGGCATCCGTGGGTCATGCTCAATCTGGAACAGGAAAGGGAGTATCAGACTTCACATTCTTTAGCCAAAGGTTGGTGACACTTGAAGGAGCAGGGGGATACTCCAGGGTTAATAGGAGGGTTAGAGAGGGAGATTCAGGTGCCCCTGGAAGGAGGGAAATGGCATTTACCAATTGTTTGAGAAACAGGGCAGGCACCAAGCACACATCAATAGCCCTCAGGGATATGACCTCAGTCCAGCTCTRTCCCACAGTGAAAACCTTGCCTGGGCTGGGCATGTCAGAGAGTAGGGTGGCAGGGCAGGAGCCCCCAGTGATCACTCACGATTGGACTGGCATTGATGAAGTCACTGCGGGACGGATTGCTCTCAGCTTTCAGCTTGATCCGCACATGATCATCTGGGGGAACAGGCCAGGAGACTTTGTGAGTGCCTAGAGGAGCTGGGGCCACACTAATGCCACAACCAGCTGCAGCCATATGTGTTCCCACACCCACACCCTGCTCTAGCCATGTCCCTGGGAGCTGGTGCCCGGGGCAGGGTGGCTGGGATGCTCACAGGGCACATAGTCGGCATTGCGGTTCTTCTTCAGGTTGGCATCACTCTGGGCAATGGAGCAGATGCTGGGCTCAGCCTGGTAGGCACAGAGCGCCTGCCACTCCTTGGCCAGCCGGTCCCGGTTGCGCAGGTGGTCCTCCATATAGGCCTGGGGCAGAGGGGCGGGGATCAGCCCAGCAGCAGGGGGCAGATGGGGATGGGGAGGGGCCTGCTGCCCCTCTTTGCTGGCTCACCAGGATCATGTGTCCGGTGGAGATGTCCATGTTGGACTGGACAGGCTCCTCGCACCAGGATGGTGTGCTGCTGTGGGAGCTGGGGCTGGGCTGCGGAGCGTCGCTGAACTGGGACGAGACACTGCTGACCCTCGAAGTCTCCGCTGGTGCYGCCGGTGCCTCCGTACGGCCAAAGAGGGACTTGGCAGCCATGTGCTGGCGGCACAACTCCTGGGGAACCCAGCAAGAACCCTGTCCTGTGGCCACAGAGCTGCCATAGGGCAGTCCCAGGTACCCCAAGCGATGCTGACACATGGCACTGATGCATTCTGCAGGGTCCCACATCCCACAGGGGTCCCATATCCCACATCCCACAGGGGTCCTACCTGGTACTCAAAAGTGGTGTCAGCAGCACCCTCTGGCCCCAGGGCAGCCAGGCGCTCCTTCTCCCGCTGCTTGGCATGGCGCCGGAGGCAGAAGGCCGCAGACACAGCGATGGCAATGACCGCCAAGCAGGCCAGAGTGATGAAAGTCAGCAGCACCGAGTGGAAGCCGCCCCCGAAGCGGGATGGGCGTGAGTAGGCAGCAGCCTCATTTCGCTGGAGAATAAGAGTTAGTTAGCATGGGGTTGGGAGGGGCAGAGCCCCTATTCTGCTCCACATTTGGGGTTGCTGGGCATTAGAGCAAGGGCTCTTCCTTCCTCTTGCTGAGGGGGCTGATTCTCCCAGCACCCTCATCTGGGGYAGAGCTGGTGTCACTGGGGTGAGGCAGGGTGCACCCACCTA